AGACTTCCCAGCCTCCAGAACTGTGAGAAATGAACATCTGTCATTCTGGCTACCCAGCCTACGGTATTTTGTTACTGCAGCCCAATCAAACTGATACACCAACAAACCTCCTTCACTACTGTTAGCTTGCTTGTCTGGTCCTCTCCTGGAGAAGAGATGCTTGAGTTCTCGATGTGCAAAGCCCACTGCCTGGCAGAGCGCCTGTCACACAGGGCTGGTGTGTAGAATAAATGAGTAAATGCACATCAGAGGCACAGCCCATTCTTCCATCCAGGATGGTTTCCATCATCCTTATCCTTCCCATCCAAGTCACAACTGGCAAAGGATAATCAGAGAGCCTCAGGTGATAACACCAAGAACATCTTCATGAAGGATTCAATGTGGAAACCAAAGGACAAGACACTTTCTCAACATTTACCAATCGAAAGGGCAAGTAGAATGAAAACTGGATTGAGGACAATTTACTCAAGCAGCATGGTTCTCAAAGGAGATGGGGCTGGTGCGCCACCCAAAACCACATGGGGTGTTCTGCGGGGTTCCCCAGAGTACATGAGAAAGTGGGCCCTGATATGCATTTGTGAAAAGATCCAGGTGATGCTGATTTTCACTCCTACCAACATACCGCTTAGAGAAATTCAAATAAGGTGTGTCTATTTGTGGCATTTACTTCACAAATTATAGTTATCTCATTTTCTAATCCTTTATTCCACTGTAAAATCCGCTACATATTGAGGGCCCCACCCCCAACTGTCTCTAAAGCTTTCTGCTAAGAATATTTAATGTACTATTAGTAGGAGGGTTTCTGTTAGAATCTCAGATTCAGGAAAAAACAGACAGTCACTGGGCAATTTCCATATAGTATGTTGTTGTCTTGTGTTACAACTCTGGACGGTACAGAGGAAAGTAAATTAACAGGCAATGAGGAACTCGAATAGATATGAACAGGGAGTGAAAACAAACAGATAAAAGCAAATGGAAGCCCATATGCCATGAAGCCTGACTCCAACCTTAAAAGGCTCCGTAAATGGGAGGGGAGATTAATTAAACATCCTAAATTTTAACATCTAAGGTTAATCTAAGGGTTAACACCCCAGAGAGTGTCTCTGCTTAGGCAGAGATCGCCAGGAACCACCAAGGATCAAGATCAAGGTTTGTTTTTGTCTAGGTATGGAAAGGTTCACTTTATCAACAAATGCCATCGACCAGGAGCTAGGCTACCCTCAATCCCAGGCACAGGTCAGCACAAGCCAGTTATCAAGGATTTAAAAGACAGTATCTAGAACTCTGCAATTCATAAAATGATAGGGAAAAAAAGTTTTTTCCAACTGTGTGGAAAGTGAGTATGACAAATACAGTATATCATCTAAACTAATTAGAAGGATTTTTGAGTCAAAAATAACAGTGGCTTCTATCACAGCACCGAAGGTTTGGGATTACCAGCTTCCAACCCTCTCTTCTGACACATGGGCAAAATTTCTAAGTGCCTTTGTCTATAAAGAGCTAGGAGTCAGACCTTGGGATCCCAGGCAAAACCTTCTTTTAACAGATAAAGGAATGGACCCAGGAGGTGTCCCATATCTGGTTTCTGCAAGAGCCAGGGTGAGGTTGAAGCTTTTCTGACCTGTCTAAGAATGGTCTTTCACACTTATTATGCATATCCTTCATTATAATTCCTAAGTCACCAAACTCTTCACAACACCCCACGGTTTTTCAAAGAGAAGTTTCACTTCTGCAGTACAAAAGTCTTGTAGTAATAGTTTACCACGAAGGAGCCTTTTGATCCACCCCAGTATGGCACAACACAGGCTCTGCATCACAGACCCAGGCTGGAACACAAGGGAATTCATCTCAGGAATTCAAATTTCTGACCTAACAACAGGGATGACAACATCTATTCCACGGGATAGTTATGCAGACGGACAGGGAAAGCAAACTCACTAAATGCTAGCTCCCTCCCTTCCTGATTCCCATTTCTTCTTCTGACCTTGAAGAGCTCACCTACCCTTCTGTCCTGTCTTCTGACAGGTGTGTCCAGGTAATCAACCTAGAGAGTTGCTTCATTTGCAACAGACCTTCTATGGGGTTCAATATCCTGATGAGGAAATGCAGCCAATGTCACTGTCCCCATATCCACAGTCATTTCCCAGAGGAAGCTCTGCAGTCATTGAGGAACGGCTGCCAAGGGGCAGGGCAACTTCAGAAATCCCCCATGCTGGGTCTGAAAGCCATGCCCAGCCCTCCCTCTCCATCCCTCCACCGTGCCACCCCTCACCTGCCACAACCCTAGAAGATCCAGAATGTGCAGCAAGCAGCCCTGGCGTTGGGGGGAACCTATAGTCATGATATACAACTCACACTGAATGTTATGAGAATTAATGAGCTAACGTCTGAAAAGGGCTAAAAGTTCCTGCAGGACAAGGTAGCCAAAAACTATATCCACAAACTCAGCTGTACAGTGGAACATGCTAATTATAACCCACAGAGGTCTCAATTTGTTCCCTCAAGGCAGATTTTTAAAAAAATTCCAAGAAGTTGAATGTGTTTAGATTGGCAAACCTGAGACCCTGGAACCCCTAGGTGAATGTAAAACTGCTCAAATATAACTGGCACACCCGACAGCTCTGATTTGTTCCTGGCAGGTACACAGAGGCCAAGAACGACCAGTGATTACTAAATTGAATACAGCCACCAGGGGAAAACACACCTCCCTTCCAAATGAATTGGCTTATTAATCAGAAGGTCACAATCCCATTCCATGTACTAATATCCTCACCAAAGTCCTCCTGTCCCTTGGCCTGTCCCCCTGCTTATACCACTTGTAGATTCATTCTTTCTGTTCTCTTTATATTTGATCAGATCATCCAATCATTCAAGGTACTCCCTCATTATAATTAAAAATGCAGTGACATGCACCTGGTAGGCACTCACACAGCGTTTCCTGTACCCATCAATTTTGGAGACCCCTCCAGATCAGTTCTTGAAGACTAAACAAAGACACATAAAATAGCCGAGGACGCATTAGGGCATAATGCCCTTTAAAAAACATGGGCCTTCCCATCATTCAGGCTCTTTTCAGTGACAATGAAGAGAAATGTACTGAATTCAGTGCACTCTTCTTACTCCTGGGGCAAGGAAGTAAGTTATCCCTCAGGAAAATAGCAGCTTTTATATCTGCAACAGATCACAGAGGTTAGAATGACTTCCACAATGGCTTGGGGGCATTGTGGGGGGAGAGACCAGAAGATCCAGGCTGACTGGTTAGCTCAGTTAGTTAGGCTTTGGTGTTGATAACACCAAGGTCAACGGTTCAGATCCCATACCAGTCAGCTTAAAAAAAAAAAAAAGACAAGTTACAGACCAAGCTCTGCAGCTAGCTCACAGTGAGACCTTGGGCACATTGCCACCTCCTATCCTCAGTTTCCCTACAAATATGTATAACATGTCATCTCCTAGGATCCTGTCCCAGCTTCCATCACTGTCAACTCAACAAAAAAGGCTCAACTCTGGAAAAACTGAGTTCCTTCATTTTGGGGTGAGTATGCATCCTGGGTCTACTTATAAAGAATGTTAAAAACCAAAAAGCCAGCAAATTCTAGTCCACAAGAATCCTTCTCAATGACATTTACATAGAGGCAAAGGAAAGTAGCTCTCTTTATTCTGACCTCACCATCAAAAAAATGCATTAAGGGTCTAACTGTACATAGCATAGAAAGTGATGCACAGATTCAACAGGACCATGGAGACGCCTATGAATGTGTTCTGTGTGTTTACAACTGCATGGATAGCTACAAAATGGCATTGGCTATTTTAAAAAATTTATCTAGTTAAGAAAGCAAAAAGGACTCTAGAGTTACAAATTAAGAAACCTATATATAAAAGAAAAGAAAAATATTCATTACTCAACAGTGCAGCTTCAGTAATGCCTTTGTACTACGATTTAAAAAAAAAATTTAGAATAATAAAAATTCAGAAGCTTCCTCAAGCAGTTATCCACTAAAATAAAGTCTAGTGAACTATGTAAGCAAAGGGATAGATGTTTATATATTTACATTAGGATTCCATAAATGTTTATTAGTTGAGAATTGATCAAACAAAAATAGCTAAAGATGTTCCAAAAAAGACACTGATCACATAAATTGAGAAGGCGAAACTACTTCAGCATTTAAAAAGAATTTTTAAGGGAAATAACTAAATCACCACAGTGGATTACATCACCTAGGTTGATTAAAATCAACAACCACAGTAGAACTTGAAAGCATTTTCTGGGTCAATTTCTAGTTTTTCTAACATTGGAAGCATTACCTAATTTAAAATCAAAGGCACCATAATTCTTATATATTTCTAAATATATTCTGAAGAATGTATGAAGAACTAAAATATGCATAATACAATAAATCAACCTATAAGGCACACCTTAACTAAATAATTTGTGACTTTTGTCACAAATAAAATATTTACTAAAATTTATGTTTACAAAATTTACATTAATAAATATTAACTGAATTTGATTCTGCTAATTTCCAAAAGTTGTATAGGATATGGCAGTTATTTCATATATTTATATAAGGATACATACTGTATGTACAAATGCCTCCCCCAGACACACACACATTTTTTTCCCTTGAAGAAAGTATACACATTATTAACCTATAAAGCTATACAAAAATCCATTTTTAAAGTTGATCAGCTTGACCACGTATAGAGCCATACAACAAATTTTCCCAAGGGAAGTTTTGGTAAGAAATAAAATATTTAATAGTAAACTACATTGTAAAAGCCTGATTAAGAAAAGTTCACTTCCTTCTACAAATAGTTTATTAAAAAGAGTTTCAAAATACATTATATTGTAAGTCATCAAATTAAAAGGCATAAAAATTTTAAATTTATAGTTCGACCTTTAAGTATGTCTCTCAACAGGCAGGCAGATAGGTAGAAAAATGAGTTCTTTTTAAATTACATAATTATAAGGTCCCCCTAGTTTAGAAATTAAAATCGCTTACCAACTTTTCTTCTCCATTGTTTCTTCCACTGACTGAACTAGCACTTTAGCATTCAGTTCATATGAAAGGGAGAGACAAACATTCGTTGTGACAGGGAGAACACACTAAGTACAACAAATATTTTGCACACAGATAAGAAGGGGAAAATAGGTCAATATCCTGTGGCTGGAAAGAAGTGGCCTCAGCTCCATCCAGGACTTCACTGTATGATTAACCATGCTGGACTCTCTTCAATTCAGAACCTACTGCTCTGACCTGCGAACCTGGTATACACAAGGCACTGGGCAAAGACACATCTACTGCTTCCCAAGCATGTGCATTCTAGCTGGGGAAAAAAAATACGAGCAATATAACTGATAAAATAGGTGCTCATGTAGGGCAGCTGACTGCTCAAAATGGGAAACAAGAGATTAACATTTATGTTTAGCAGTGGGGCTATTATCATGGCACAGAAGGATAAGAGAAAGATGGCTAAAGAGGTAAAACTTGACCTTGATCTTGAAGGATAAGTAGGAAGTGATTAAACAGAAAAGAACTTTAAAGCAAAAAGTATACAG